CGTCCAGCCCGTAGCCAGTTGTCGAAATCTGTTTAGTTATCTCGATTATGCTGGGCCGCCGCGTTTGGTAGCCGGCAACTGATCGCGTGAGCTATTGAGCGCCCTATTGGAAGCTGCAGACTCAGAACGATTCATCCTGCCGACTGAACGCTATACAGCCAACGCACAAGCGCATCAGCGCAATTCACTCTGTTGCGATCCGGAACTGGTAGCGAAGGGGGGAGTTCAACGGACCCTACTCTGTCACTTTACTGACTCATCTCTCTCGCCCTTAAACAATAAAACGAATAAAATAAACTTCTCTCACTTTTGTATTCCTTCATCTCCAACCATAACTTCAGAGTGAGTGGACTGCAGAAAAGTTTTAATAAAGCAAACCAGATTTCCGATGACTTAAAGTCTTTCCCGACTGGAAAATTGAATTCACCCACAAATGTCAGTCTAGGATTGAAAAGATTGGCCACAATGACAGTCCCCATAAACACTGAAGAGGAAGGAAGGTGCAATGACAAAGGGGAAGAACTGGAATTCTTCCGAAGGGAGACAGGTAAGTGTTGTTGATGACAAAGTTTTCCCGTCACATCCGAAACTAAAACCTTTCCATCTCTCTTACAGCTATTGCGAAACGCACCCCGTTTTCTTCTATAATAACTCTAAGAACCATTATTTAATATAGCATCATCTTCAGCTGAAGAACAGGGGTTCAAATCACAAAGCCGTCAATGTCCTGCGGAAACAATACTTTCCACAAGACTACCTAATCAAAATTACATTCCTCGTTCATTTCAGAGTCACATATCAGTTTGGCTGACACAGCAAATAAAGGTAAAGATGTCCCTGTGGTTAACTAATTAAGAATTATGCCATGAAGGTGTATGGGGGAGTGGATGTATAGACCCACTTTTTCTTTCGGCACTAGCTGAAGGTGAGTGGGCAGCTTCACGACTGTGAAGATGAAGACATGTTCCTCCGAAACGTCTATTGACTTTCGACGGACTAAACAACGTTATATCACAGAAGATAGTATACTTCGACATTTTTTCTTCCAGATAATAACATTTCCAAATATTTCCAAATCACTTATGACTTAGAATTACACCATCATTATGTTGCAAAGTTTACATATTTCCACTAATACTAACTTGTACTATGTACCTCCGAAATATGGCCGCGCCATAGTTGAGCGGTTATTCGCTGGCTTCCCACCGCGGAGGCCCGGGTTCGATCCCGGGTCTGGTCAAGTGGGATTTGTAGTGGAGAAAGTGGCGCTGGGGCAAGTTTCCTCCGAGTACTTCGGTTTCCCCTGCCAATCTTCATTCCACCAATTGCTCCACACTCACCCTCACCTATCATCTGGGGCTGGTTCAATAGGCCAGAAGTGGCCGCAGTACAACGAACTTAGTCCCACCCCACTAGCAATAAAAAAATACCTCCAAAGTACGAGTACAAGAGGTAGGTGAGAAATAAACAGAACAGGCCGCTTAGGAGGTCTCGGAGTATGTTGTAGGGTCTTTAATGAACAGGGTGTGGGGTGTGAACTGCATTCATCTGCTTCTGCATGGAGTTCAGTGGCGGGCTCTTATTAATATAGCAAGAAAAGACGGGTAATGCCTTGACCAGATTAGCCATGATTATATAGCTCCTCGAGAAGAATTTATTAAGTACTTCTGGACCAACTGTATTTTAAGCTTGTAATTAAATTCAGTCCTTATTCCCTGTAGCATTCATTTTCTTACATTTACAGTCACCGTCTTCTACTAAATTCTGTGCAAAAAGCTCACTCAGTTTCACACATCACTACTGCAATTGAAAGGCTCAGATTTAAGTATATACATATATATTGACGGAATATGACCATGTGCTGGGCAACAGTACACTAACCACATTCCCGTAGTAACGCAGGCAACAAAGAACATCGGTTGCTTTGTAGCGAACTTTTCAATAAGCACGTTTTCGTGACGAAGGAATTTCCACAGATACGAACTAGCCTGTATAAGGAGCCGTGGAGGCTATTCAAGATTCATTCGTGAGAAATCTTTCTTCAAGGCAGTTCAGGTTGTGAGCAGGAATTCTTCGTTCGTCATTCATCACAGTGGAAGAGCAGACGCTCATGTTTCAGCAAGGAATGGAGCGAGTCGCTGTCAACCACTGATTGTGAGCTGTTATACCAAAAAAAAAAAAAATAATAAATCCGTGATTTCAGTCAGCAAGCGAACCATACCGACCGCCTCTGTGGGCTAGTGGTCAGCGTTTCGGGCTACAGATCCAGAGGTACCGGGTTCGATTTCCGGCGCCGCCAGATTTTTTCGGAGAAGTAGTGGGTCTAGAACGGGATCCATTCAGCCTCGTGATGATAATTGAGGAGCTATTTCAAGGAAATAGCGGCTCCGGTCTAGAAAACCGAAATTAACGGCCGTGAGGATTCGTTGCGCTGACCACGCGACACCCTCTATCCGCAGAAGTTGGCACTAAACTTCGCCGACAAGCGGCGGTCGCTCAGTCGGTCAGTGAGCTGTTATATGTGACTAATTGTGATTGATGCGTTCAATAAATCGAGGCATCAGATCTAGAACCCATTATTATTAGTCACGGTAACATCTTATACGTGACTACATGTACAATAGCAGAAGTAAGAGTTCAATTTCGAAAGCCTCTTCGTAAAAAGCTAAGAGTAAATCCTGAAACCATGACGGATTAGTTCCCTTTAAAACATTTTTTATTTATGGTAACTATCTCTTTGGGAAGTAACTTTGTTCAGACTAACGTCAATGGAATTCGAGCCTACGATTTACCGTATTTGAATCTCAATTAAACTATAATGGAGAATTAACTTCCAGTTAATTTGCACATTCCCTACACAGCAACAAAATTAGATTTGTATTATCAGCTTATGCCAGGCACAAGGTATTTACTGCCTGAACCAACTAGGATTGTGATTCGAACTTCATTTCTCTGTAATATGATTACGGACAGAACTGGAAATAGGGGGGGTCATTTGGTTTTAGAACTTTTCAATATTCATCCGCGCAGACGTGGAACTACGAAGTTAGGATTTTGGCAACAAAAACAATAATTACTTTCTCTCGAAGGTTTTGCTAAGCCTTGTGAGGATTATCTAGGAGCTTTCCTACGGAAAACATTTGCACGTGTGGATGGTCTCAAGGACCTAGCAAACGGATAAGACTGCATTATCGATTCCAGTGGGCGGCAATAAAAACAGCTTGTAGGGTAGTCCGATTCTGCTTAGAACTTAACAGACATAGCGAAAACTGAATGCTGGAGCGAGCAATGTGAATTTTGTTGAAGGTTTCAGAAACAGCTTAACGTCTTAATTACGCCCCTTCAAACTTGAATTTATATGATTCTGTATTTCAGCTGTAACCGAACCATTGAAATACTTCCCCCCTTCTTTTTTTTAGTAGTTATAAAGTAGAATTGTAAGAATTACTAAGAAACAGGAAGACACAGTCAGAACAAACAGATAGACCGAACTTGTGTGGACAAAGACATCTGTTAGTTCTTGCGTCCAGGCCTTTGGTGTTGTTTCGAAAAGGGCAGAAATGATACTTCATGGAACCCCCACTGAGTTCTTTAGAAATTGAGCAGTTGACTTAGAACGACGAGCCTCTTTGAGAATTCGAGACGTGACAGTCATAAGTCAACAGTGGGAGGTCCAGGGGTTCCTTAGCGACCCTCATAAGTTACATTTTTGTCAGTTTTGCCGTTTGGGATTTTAAGCCGAAACTGCTTCTAAAACAATCGGTCATTGGCCGGAATCAAAATTTAAGCCTACTCCTCTTATTTGAATCCACCTATCCGAGAATTTAGGAGGAGAAGAGAGGAGGCGGATACAATCCAGTTAGGACCTTTGGCTCGGGAGAGAGTCCAGTTTAAGATTAAGAGTCGGCTACGAAACTTAGAACTTGGCGGAGGTAGAACCCGCGAATATAATCCAGTTTAAGATCAGGGAGTCTACTAAACACTTTCGAACGTGGCGGAGGTAAAACCCGCGAATATACTTGCGCGTTAAGATAAGTGATTTGAGCAGTGCAGCACCGGCGGCTTGGAAGCCGATACTACGTCTTATAGTGTTGATTTTTTACTCCGCGTGACTGTGAGAAACAATAAAGTGTTCCAGTGGCAAAGTACATTGTGTTGGTCAGAAGTGTTTCACCCTCCTTGTCCGAGCCTGGCCCTTAGCCGACCTGAGGAGAGAACTCATCGCCAGGAGCAAGCCAAACCCATCGCCAATTTCCACCCCACTCACGCCTTCCCTCCTTTAAATTGAATCGCAAACAACTAGGAGCTGTTTGCTGGCGCCCAAAATATCAGGTTCTAGGTTGAAATTCCAAACCCGTAATCAGCAACGGAAGGAGGAAACGGTGGAGTAGGAAGAAGCGGTGGAGCCTGGTCAAGCCGGAACCAGCCACGACCTAACAACTTCAACGGAGGCAGCACCAGGTAGGGCAGCCAAAGTGACCAGTGGCAACCACCTTGTGGGCAAGAAGCCTTCAAAGAGGGTGGGCGGTTACAGAGAGAGAAAGTGTGCCGCCCAACGGTGTTGGCCCGAGTAACGACGACGAAGAAAGGTCAGGGCGGTTAGAGAAAGTATGGCGCAGCCAACGTGACGGCCGACGTCTCAGCGAGGACAAGGGTACGAGGAGAGAAGCGCAACATAACGCACGACGCCAGAGGAAACAACTCCCGACAATTGGAACAAGAGTCAGGACGGACGGAGCTGCACACTACTAGTTCTACTGCTCCGACAGTTCACACGAGGTACACCGAACGCAACTACAAGGTCAGTTACGAAATTTTATAATGGCCAGCAGATCATTGAGGAGCCGTACTGTAGAGGCTCAAGAGGAGAATCAGGAGTTAGCGGCAGGGGAGCGAGACCCCGCAAACCCTCTTAGCTTAGTCAGCGCGAGTGAGACTCCAGGACAAGACACAATGCGACCTCAAGGAGCAGAATTAGGGACGCAGAGCCAAGCCAACCAAGTGTTAGAGAAAAGTGATTCCAACACACAAGCTTCTGTAGACAGTACCAATCAGCTACAGCAAATGTTGTTAGAGTTTTTCACAAGTGTTAGAGCAGATTTGAGTAGCCACCGAGAGGAAATTCAGGAAAGTGTTAGAGCAGATTTGAGTAGACACCGGGAGGATATTCAGGCGCAGTTCATTAGTGTCAAGGCTGATCTAAGTGCTAATCAAGAGAATGTGAGAGCCGAACTCCAGTCCAACCAAACTAAATTAGAACAGTTGCAGGAAAGTGTTCGGTCAGATATGAGCCAAGTTAGGTCTGACATACGAGCAGAAAATGAAAAGTTACTGCAAAGTTTCGAGGCTCAAACTCAGGAAATCAGGAAGGAATTAGATAGTAGGCTGGAATCCGAAGCCAGACGGGTCTCCCAGCTAGTTACGCAGGTGCAAACTGAAACCGCATCTGAATTTGCAGCAGTCAAGAGGCAGCTGCAGAGCATAGGTAACGAGTTCGACTCTAGGTTAGAACAGTCCAATACAAGCACCCAATTGGTAGTTAATGAACTTGCAGATCAGATGCAGGAGCACAGGTCTGAAGTGAGTAATCAGATGGTACGACAGAAAGAGAGCCTAGAAAATTTATCGCAGTCAACCACTCAGGAATTAGGAAGGAAATTTGAGATGGTAAACGCAAAGGTTTTGGCATTAGAGACTAAATTAAACGAAATGCCAGCCAGGCAAGCTTTAGCCACAGAGGCGCGAGTGGTAGTTCAGGACGCCGCATCTCTTTCCGCCGGACCAGCCAATGACCCTACGACGGAACCTGAAGTGACTGAAGCAAGCGGTGGATTGGTCGGTGAAACAGTCAGCTGCATTCACCAGCCAGCCCTCTGCAATACATTGTCTAGTGATAGCAGCATGAATGGGTGTGTAGTGCATGCCAACACAGAGAATGTATCCTTGTTGGGTTATCTAAGCAACTCAGAATTTCCCTTACCTCTTTACGATGACGCAAAAGAGACCAACCCCGTATTTCATCTACGGAGGTTGGATGAATTTATTAACTTTCGCAATGTGCCGAAACCCCTTCGTTTGGCAGTCGCATGCCGATCCATAGTGGGACACATAGGCAAGCAATGGGTAGAGGCTGTAATGCACAATGTGGCAGACTACGAGGCATTCAAGAAGGCATTCTTGAATACCTGGTGGTCGACTTCCAGGCAATCTCTTGTAAAGTGTACGCTCTATCAGGCGAAATATGATCGGAGATCAGGTTTGAGTCTGAGCGGACATTTTTTAAAACACGTGACCATGGCTTCGTACCTGGACCCAAGACCTTCGGATGGGGAGCTGATAGAAGCAATCAGGGCCCACTATCCGATAGGGGTGCAACGAGCCATGCTCACCAACCAGATGCAAACAATCGAGCAAGCCCTGGATCTTCTCAAAAGAGTGGAGCTGATGGAACAGTCCGAGAATTATCCGAGACCTCCCATGCAACCCCACAATTCGAACCCTAACAGGCCAGGGAACAATCCGCACAGAAGTGACCCCAGAGGCCAAAACCAGGCTCAGGTGCGCCAGGTGCAATTCTTTCCGTCACGGAACCGTTCGAACCGGAACCGGAGACGTAATCGCCGTAATTACCAGTCAGAGAGAGGCGGAGAACCCCCAGAGGGAAGCTCCGGCCCTCTTAACCCCAATGCAACCCCGTACCAGGGAAGACAAGAGCAAAACAATCACAGCGATAACCATTCGGGAAACCGATAACTGGAGTTATTGAGGACCGAATGGCTCCCGTTGTGAGATCCCACGTATTTCTAGGTCCGCTCAAGGCATCCCAAATGGCAGGCGAACCCAGTTGTGAAGGCGAGTCTGACTCGGAAACTCAAGATAGCTACTTAGAGCAGGTGACTACGGGTGGAGTAGTACTGTTCATTAATGAGGCAAATTTAGAAAACAGTCCTCAGGTCGAAGTTCAAGTGTTGAACAAAATTAAATTCACAGCCATTCTAGATTCTGGCAGTGAGGTTAATCTCCTATCAGAACGAATTTATGAGGAGCTAACTGAAACAGGTGTAAAAGTTCCTACCCTACCAGTTGAAGGAGTGGTTCTCGTAACAGCGTTCGGCAGACGAAGCAAACGGATACGTCGGCAGGCTTTACTCGAATTTTCGATAGGCCAAGATGTGTTCGAGACCATCTTTTTAGTTTCACCCCAGTTGAATAATGACGCCATTTTCGGTTGTCAATTCCTGAAGGAGCATGGAGTTATCATCGACTTCAACTCAGGAAAGTTCACGTATGTCCGCAACGGAACAACAAGAGAGTGGACGTTTGCCACCAGGGCAGCATCGCAAGGCGCTTGCAATAATGACAGTGGAGAGTTTAAAGAATCTTCCAACACTGTATCCATGTTAGCAGGTCAGCGACCCAAACCCCAAACAGCTGACTGTGCAGACCCACCTTCCCATTCCAGAGCAGCTGAATACTGCAATGGATCCCTACCTCACCCCACCGCATACGGCAGAGTGGCGACCAACGGCATTAGACTCGGTCTTCGGATCGACAAAGGACCACTTGACCCAGACAGGAACCAGGAGTTCCCGGACCCTGACGCAAAGCGCGATCAGTTGTGCCCCAATGGAGAGTGTGTCCTAGCGAGTGTGGCAGCTTGCATAAGTAGCCCCCGCAGCAGAGTTCCTGCTAGTCTGAATGCCAGCCCTACTTATGAGTTAGAAGTCAACTCAGTAGAGACAGCCCTGCCACATGGCCAACCCATCCCCAACCCAAAACCCAGTTTCCCAGAACCCCGGTCATTACAAGCAGCCGATCTACACTCCTTAGTAGAGCAAGTGACTGATTTGTCCACAGCTGAACGAAGTGATCTATACCAGGTTCTATTCCGGTATAGAGAGCACATGACAACGCGACCTGGGAAGTGCAAGCTTTTCATCTACAAATTCCAGGTAGATACCGACCGCCCAATAGTAGGTCATTCGAGGCCAATTCCGTTTGCCCTCCGACCAGCTGTTAGAGAACAAATCCGGCAGATGCTAGTCGACGACATTATTGAGCATAGCAATTCCCCGATTCTCAACCCATTAACCGTGGTAAGTAAAGAAGGAGGAGACATACGCATATGTGTTGATGCCCGGAGGGTGAATGAAGTCACCATCCCAGATCATGAGAGGACCCCTCCCATGAATGAGCTCTTACAAAGATTCCATGGGGCAAAATATTTCACGTCCCTTGACCTGAGTTCAGCTTATTTACAGATAGAGCTACACGAAGACTCTAGAAAATACACGGCTTTCATGTCCGAATCCACCGTGTATCAGTACAAAAGAGTTCCATATGGGTTCAGAAATTCATTACCCGCATTCGTACGTGCCATAAAGGTAACGCTGGGAACGGATCTGGAGAACGTGGTATCCTACGTTGACGACATTCTGATACATTCCCCTACCATGAAAGATCACCTAAGACATCTTGATACCGTACTCGGTAAATTAACGAAGGCAGGCTTCACGATCAACGCCAAAAAGTGTCGCTTCTGCAAAGACGAGGTTAGGTTTTTGGGACACCGTATAGATAGGACCGGTGTATCCGCTGACCCGGATAGGGTACAGTCCATCCTCAACTATCCAGCACCGAGAAACAGTAAACAGCTGAGGCAGTTTCTCGGAACCTGTAATTTTCATAGCAGATTCATCATAGGCTATGCAAATTACGTCGCACCGCTAACGCCGCTATTGAGGCTAGGTGTGAAGTGGTCGTGGACAGATGAAGCACAGGATGCATTCCTGCGCCTGCGGCAGAGTTTTGCGCGCAGCATTCACCTGGTCCATCCACGTGATGACGCCCCGTATGCAATTTACACTGACGCCAGCAAGCTGGGGATAAGTTCAATACTAACCCAGGAAAGCGACTACGGTGAGACGTTGGTAGTGTCCACCGCATCCAGAGTGTTGAGCCCCGTAGAACGGAGGTACTCCACCTGTGAACAGGAGCTGCTTGCTGTAGTCTATGCGCTTCAGAAGTTCAGAATATATGTGATAGGTCATCCCATCACTGTATATTCCGATAACAAAGCATTATCGTTTCTGAAGAGGTGTAATTTGACATCTAGTCGAGTCACACGCTGGGTAATGCAGCTGCAGGAGTACGATTTGAAGATTGTACACATTAAAGGCAGCGATAACTTCTTTGCAGACATGCTGAGCCGCAACCCCATTGGGTTAAGCCAAGAGAGCCGCGACCAAGTGTTGAAGCCGAAAGAGTTATTCGTGGCAAGGGTAGACCTGGGAACTGACAGAACACTCATGAAAGAATTAGGCAATCTGTCAGAACACCAACTCGGTGATCCCGCTTTAAATAAAATACGGGAAGAACTGGAGAGCGACCCAGAGAAATTTTCGGGCAGGTACATGGTAAGAGACAGGATCCTGTTCTGCAAAAATGACAGGAGCCATCCCTATTGGAGAATTATGTTACCCAGACAGCTAGAAGACCGAGTGATTCGGTATGTACATACGCTATTGGGACATCAAGGTACCGATAAGTGTATGTTGCAAATAGCACACACTTTCCACCTAAAGTCATTAGGAAGAAAGGTGCGGAAGTTCGTGGCACACTGCGACATCTGTCAACGTGTGAAACATCCCAATAGGTCCTATGAGATTGAAAGAGTATCTCATCTCCCCACCAGGCCAGGAGAGCTATTAACGATAGACCTCTATGGACCTCTACCTACAGGTCGTGGTGGAGTGAAATACCTGTTGGTATGTCTGGAATTCTTCTCCAAACATGTAACTCTATACCCACTAAAGGCAGCCACAACTAGGAGCTGTTTAAGGAAGCTCAGGGAGCACTATTTCCAAAGTGTTATCAAACCTGAGACCATTTTGTCTGACCACGGATCGCAATTTGCGAGTCCTGCATGGCGGAAAGCACTGACCGATTTGGGCATTCAGTGTAGATACTCTCCTATTCGACACCCGGAAAGTAATCCGACAGAGCGGATTATGCGCGAACTTGGAAAATACTTTCGAATCTACTGCCACGAGACGCACAAAAAATGGCCAGAACTCGTGCCATATATAGAGAACTGGTTGAATTCTTCTGTTAGCCAGTCTACAGGTTATACTCCTGTAGAACTGCTCGATGGAAATCCGAGGCCGGATATCTTCCGAAAGATACTGAAAAAGAGTGCAGACCAGTTACCCCGGGAAGATGTCTTATCTGACAAAATTCTAAAAGCCTATGCTCAGATGAAACTAAAAGCAGATCAGCGAAACAAACGACGGAAAACTGGCAAGACTAAGTGGCAGCCTAGTCTTCAGGCGCTAGTGCTAGTAAAGTGCCAACCTGTATCGGATGCAGTGCAAGGCCTTACTTCTAAATTTCAAAGACCGTTCGAGGGACCATTCGTGGTTCATCGAAGAGTAAACCCCTCCATCTTCGAACTGGCAGATTCAAAAGGCAGGATTAGAGGACTCTTCAACCTAAAACATCTGAAACCCTACCTCGAGGAAAACCTCGAATCCTAGACCCCACAGACAGGACTGAAAGTGGATCCTCGAAAAAAGAGAGAAAAAAAGTGGAAAAGTCGTTGAAATTTCGAAATTTTTAAATGATATCTACTACTATAGAGAAATTTCAAACGAAGTGCATGGGTGGATTGCAGCCTACCAACCCTTTCAGAAATTTTAATCCACGAAGGGCACTAATTGATTCCAAGGAGGGTAACCCAACAAGAGAGACAGAGAGCGATTGTAGGAGAAACTGGTAGCAAAGAGACCATTGTGCAGTAAGAGAGAGAGATATTTCATTGTTTACATTAGGTTTAAAGAGCCAGTCACACACGAATTCAGGAGGGTCAGTCACTGAAGGAAAGTGAGAGAGGACAATGTCTGAGAGAGACAGAGAGAATTCGATGTTACAAGTGAAGTGCAGTGTTGGTGAACCATAAACCCCCCCCCCTCCGGAAAAAGTGAAATTTTCTTGACGCAAGTGAATGGTCAGAGAATGAAGGACACGGAGAGACAGAGAAAAAATGTCATGTGACAGTTCAATTTTGTAAGTGTTGTTATAGTCCATAAGTAAGAAACTAGAATAAGGTTTAGCAAGGAAAGGAACAGGATGAGGGCGAGTGTTAAAACCCTCAAACCTTGATAATTTGTGTATGTATCGATGGAATTGAGTGGTGAGGAATGAGCGGCAACCAAGCGAGATTTGGGTCCGAAATCGATCCTCGATTCAGACCAACCCTCGCTTGGGGAGTGTAACCGAACCATTGAAATCCTTCCCCCCCTTTTTTTTTAGTAGTTATAAAGTAGAATTGTAAGAATTACTAAGAAACAGGAAGACACAGTCAGAACAAACAGATAGACCGAACTTGTGTGGACAAAGACATCTGTTAGTTCTTGCGTCCAGGCCTTTGGTGTTGTTTCGAAAAGGGCAGAAATGATACTTCATGGAACCCCCACTGAGTTCTTTAGAAATTGAGCAGTTGACTTAGAACGACGAGCCTCTTTGAGAATTCGAGACGTGACAGTCATAAGTCAACAGTGGGAGGTCCAGGGGTTCCTTAGCGACCCTCATAAGTTACATTTTTGTCAGTTTTGCCGTTTGGGATTTTAAGCCGAAACTGCTTCTAAAACAATCGGTCATTGGCCGGAATCAAAATTTAAGCCTACTCCTCTTATTTGAATCCACCTATCCGAGAATTTAGGAGGAGAAGAGAGGAGGCGGATACAATCCAGTTAGGACCTTTGGCTCGGGAGAGAGTCCAGTTTAAGATTAAGAGTCGGCTACGAAACTTAGAACTTGGCGGAGGTAGAACCCGCGAATATAATCCAGTTTAAGATCAGGGAGTCTACTAAACACTTTCGAACGTGGCGGAGGTAAAACCCGCGAATATACTTGCGCGTTAAGATAAGTGATTTGAGCAGTGCAGCACCGGCGGCTTGGAAGCCGATACTACGTCTTATAGTGTTGATTTTTTACTCCGCGTGACTGTGAGAAACAATAAAGTGTTCCAGTGGCAAAGTACATTGTGTTGGTCAGAAGTGTTTCACCCTCCTTGTCCGAGCCTGGCCCTTAGCCGACCTGAGGAGAGAACTCATCGCCAGGAGCAAGCCAAACCCATCGCCAATTTCCACCCCACTCACGCCTTCCCTCCTTTAAATTGAATCGCAAACAACTAGGAGCTGTTTGCTGGCGCCCAAAATATCAGGTTCTAGGTTGAAATTCCAAACCCGTAATCAGCAACGGAAGGAGGAAACGGTGGAGTAGGAAGAAGCGGTGGAGCCTGGTCAAGCCGGAACCAGCCACGACCTAACAACTTCAACGGAGGCAGCACCAGGTAGGGCAGCCAAAGTGACCAGTGGCAACCACCTTGTGGGCAAGAAGCCTTCAAAGAGGGTGTGCGGTTACAGAGAGAGAAAGTGTGCCGCCCAACGGTGTTGGCCCGAGTAACGACGACGAAGAAGAGGTCAGGGCGGTTAGAGAAAGCATCGCGTTGCAATTGTTCAATTTAACGTCCATTATTTATCGTCCGTCAATTTTGCAACGCTCCTCCACTCACCACTCAATTTTAGTTTAACATTATACACCTAGACACTACATGTTTCGGCTCCAAACGCCCATCTTCAGGTGTCTTGATATGTTACAAATATTTTTTCTTTAACTGTGTTAAAACTCCCACACTGTCTTAGTTCGTGTTAAAATCACACGCTGTAGTCATCTTTTTAAGTTAAAACCAGATAAAATCCTTTAAAGTTTCTATTATACCCACATTATCGGGGTGCATATTATTTCACCTCACATGGGGTGTCGTCCATTTTCATAAATGTATGTCTGTCCAGAGTGTCTTTCTCGGCACAACACCACACGCTGTGGAGGAAACACGCAACCCAGGGGCACAAGGCAGTCATAACTGAAAAGTAGGCTACGAACGTGAGGGGCAAGCTGCCGAAACAAAACACCCTGGAAAGACATGCATTTATGAAAATGGGCGACACCCCATGTGAGGTGAAATAATATGCACCCCGATAACGTGGGTATAATAGAAATTTTAAAGGATTTTATCTGGTTTTAACTTAAAAAGAGGACTACATCGTGTGATTTTAATACGAACTAAGACAGTGTAGCAGTTTTAACACAGTTTAATAAAAAATATTTCTAACATATCAAGACACCTGAAGATGGGCCTTTGGGGCCGAAACATGTAGTGTCTAGGTGTATAATGTTAAACTAAAATTGAGTGGTGAATAGAAGAGCGTTGCAATATTGACAGACGATAAATGATGGAAGTTAAGTTGAATTTGTATTTATTTCCTTTGGCGCTACAGCCCCAATTTGGACCTTGACCTAGCTCCATGAAACTCTCCGTTTCAGTTGAGTTTACTAAATCTTAGATATTCGGTAGGACTTCTTGGTTGGGTCATCAGCTCGCCTCAAGATCTCTACCTATAAATGAACACAGAAAAGCGGACGCAGAAACAAACAAACAAACAAACAAACACCAAACATCCATGCCCTGAGTGGAATTCGAACCCACAGTCCCGGCTTCTGAGAGAGCGAAGACTGTGTATGCCTATTCAGCTACGTGACCGGCTGAATTTATATTAATTACAAAAGTTAACAAGGTAAAAATCTTAACCTCTCTATCACATCCTGAACGTACGATTCTGCAGGTTAGGATGTTATTTGTTCTGATCACATCATAACATATGGGGACTGAACGTCATATCTGAATGCTTAGCAATTCTTTTCCATATCCGAGAGATCCCGGATACAATTCTCGGCCCCAATACCGGTTACTTTGGATCTCTACAGGTTAGGCGGGTCATAATTTAAGGTGGAACTACCGCTCTTCCGCAAGTTTGAATTCCACCAATCACAATCATCCTACCAATTTATAAAAGTTATGTTGTTGAGAAGACGTTGCTAAATGACCAATCAGCAATCCTCGTGAATTTGAAAAAATGCTGCGTGAGTGAGCATGACTGTATTTACGTTAGAAATTTGTTCAATTGTTTTGTAATGAATCTGTATGTATGTCTATGACAGCTCCGTGGAGTAGATTAACCGTGTTAGGTCCTGGATCCTCCCAGCTTTAACTAAGAGGATCTCCATCTTTTAGAACGTAACGTCGTGGAGTCCGGTGAAAGTCAACCCAAGTTTCAGAGGAATATATAGCCTTCATGTTTTTTTCCAAAATGTCGGGTGATTTTCACGGGGTCACATCACAGAAGACAGAAATCTTAATTTTATTTACTTACTTTTATTACTTATCCAAAAACGCCGTCAGTAGCTTAAGTAGCGTCGATTGACAGGATGATTAATAAATAATAAAATGGAATGATGAGAAAGGAAGCCTTCTTGGTCTTATTTCATATAATATCCCGAAACTTTCCTTGGACTACGGTGAACTATGAAAAGTTTGATTTGTAATAGTCCATATCCGATCTGAGATTTGAATGCGGGCCTCCTGACTAGGCAGCATTGTTGCACCCACTCCGCTGCGACTCTCGCTATGAGTCTAACAAGTGTTTTGCTGACGACATTTCACGTCTTTTACGAAACCTCGAAAATCTATTAACACGTTCACGCAAGACAGCCACTGAAGTACACCCTAAATCAGATGAACCCTGCTGGCAACTCCATTCAATACACTTTATTATGACCTTCCTATCTTGCCGAGTTCCTTAAAATACTGCACAAGGCCGAAAATAAAGCGACTCCCTGTTTTTCCAATGATTAAATCAGAAAAAATTACGTCTTGACAAAACTCAATAAGTTATTTAATTCTGAGTGTTGTTAGCAAACGTTATTAAAAATATACCACTGAGAAAATATAAATTCATAGTATTATACTGCAGGATCCTGCTGCACATCACTTAGTAGCAAATACGTATTACTGGCTCCACCGTCTCATATAGCACAACATAACAGGAAGAACCACCCGTCACTTGGAATACGCATGCGCATAAAGGGGACCTTATATTAAAAATTATTAACCGATGCCACGATAACAGAAGCATAGCAGCTTACTCAACTATAATTTTAAACACCTGATGATGACCATAATCGTCAAAATATATAATAAAGCCTTTTAAAAAATTAAAAGTTATATGATGTGACACAAATTTTAAAGTGAATAATCATTTAATAAATTTTATAGAAAGACGTATTGCACTTGAGACAGTGGCACCAGTAACATTTGATAATAAAGTCAGAATTTCGTAACAAATTCCGTGGTTTTAGTCAGCAAGCGAACTATACCGACCGAGAGACCGCCGTTTGTCGACGAAGTTAGTAACAACTTTAGCGGATAGAGGGTGTCGCGTGGTCAGCGCAACGGATCCCCACAACTATTAACCTCGGTTTTCTAGACCGGAGCCGCTTACTTACTTCTCTTATTGCTAGTGGGGTGGGACTAAGTCCTTTGTATTGCGGCCATTTCTGGCCTATTGTACCAGCCCCAGATGATATGTGAGGGTGATTGTGGAGCAATTGGTGGAATGAAGATTGTCAGGGGAAACCGAAATACTCGGAGAAATCCTGTCCCAGCGCCACTTT